TCATTGTTCATGTATAGAAATGCAACTGATTTTCGTGCATTGATTTTGTATCCTGCCACTTTGCTGAATTCTTATATGAGTTCTAGCAATTTGGGGGTGGAGTCTTTTGGGGTTTCCACATAGAGTATCATGTCATCTGCAAAGAGTGGGAGTTTGACTTCTTCTTTGCTGATTCAGATACCTTTTATTTTTGTTGTTGTTGTTGTTATTGTCTGATTGCTGAGGCTAGGACTTCTAGTACTATGTTGAGCAGCAGTGGTCAGAGTGGACATCCCTGTCGTGTACCTGACTTTAGGGGAAAAGGTCTCAGTTTTTCCCCATTGAGAATGATATTCGCTGTGGGTTTTTCATAGATGGTTTTTATGATATTGAGGCATGTTCCCTCTATCCCTTCAGTGTGAAGAGTTTTAGTCAAGAAAGGATGCTGTACTTTGTCAAACGCTTTTTCTGCATCTATTGAGAGGATCATATGGTTCTTTTCCTTTCTTTTATTAATGTAGTGTATCACATTGATTGATTTGCAGATGTTGAGCCACTCTTGCAGCCCAGGAACAAATTCCACTTGGTCGTGCTGAATAATCCTTGTAATGTACTGTTGAATCCTATTGGCTAGTATTTTGGTGAGAACTTTTGCATCCATGTTCATCAGGGATATTGGTCTGTAATTCTCCTTTTTTGGTCGGGTCTTTGGTTTTGGGATCAAGGTAATGCTGGCCTCATAGAAAGTTTGGAAGTTTTCCTTCCATTTCTATTCTTTGAAACAGCTTCAAAGAATAGGTATTAATTCTTCTTTAAATGTTTGGTAGAATTCCCCTGGGAAACCATCCGGCCCTAGACTTTTGTTTGTGGGGTGATTTTTGATGACTGCATCAATTTCCTTGCTGGTTATGGGTCTGTTCAGGTTTTCTATTTCTTCCTGGTTCAGTTTTGGTAGTTTATACATCTCTAAGAATGCCTCCATTTCTTCTAGATTGTTTAATTTGTTGACATATACTTGCTCATACTGTGGTCTTATAATTGTTTGTATTTCTTTGGTGTTGGTTGTGATCTCTCCTCTTTCATTCATGATTTTATTTGGGTCCTTTCTCTTTTCTTTTTGATAAGCCTGGCCAGGGCTTTATCAATCTTATTCTTTCAAAGAGCTCCTAGTTTTGTTAATCTGTTCTACTATTCTTTTGGTTTCTATTTCATTGATTTTGGCTCTAAACTTTATTGATTCTCTTCTCCTTCTGGGTTTAGTGTCTTCTACGCTTTTTTTTCTAGCCCAGCTAGTGTCTTTATATAATCATTATTCTGAACTCTAGTTCCAACATCTTACTTATGTCCATACAGATTAGGTCCCTGGCAGTCAATACTGTCTCCTTGTCCTGGTTTTGTATGACCAGGTCCCTGAGGGTTCAGAGCCTGTGTGCTCTCACCTTGATAGAGTGGGACAGAGCTGTGTGGCCTCCATGGGTCCCCATTCTGCTCTGATTTCTCATGACATAAAATCTTTAGCAGGGGCAGTCTCTAGAGTGTGATGTGGTCATATTGTAGACAGGAAGCACAGAGAAGAAAACAGTTGTCAAGGTTACACAGGGCAAAGATGTCATCAGAGACTTGAAGGCCACTCCCAGACTCATCCTGCTTAGAGGCAGCACAAAGGACACAGCGCTGTAAACGGCTTGGGTTTCTTCCTCACCAGCCTCAATTCTCATCTATGCTGTGGGTCCTGGGCTGCCTCTAGGCAGGATGGTGTGAGAGGCAGGCGAACTGGGTTCTACTTCTGGCCCTGCTATGGACTTCCTGGATGTCATACCACCCCCCCCCCCCCCCACCCCCCCGCCACAGGCTGCTTGTGAGGATTGGGCCATTGGTGTGAATGTGCTTAGTGAACTCACTGCTTAGGTATCGCGATTCCAGGATTGCTGCTAATATGGCCTCCAGGCCAAGTTGGGTCCGTGCAGACCACACCTACCTCCCCAACCTGCCTTCCATCAGTCAGCAACAGTGTGGCATGCAACTCTTCTTTCGAGTCTGGGTTTGAGCTCAGATAGGTCCAAGCTTTTGAGAGTAGGTGGCCACGTTAATGGACTTCAGAGGTACCAGAAAAGGCCACCATATTGTCCATATTGGATTCCCCCATTCAAAGCACTCTTAAACTTAAGGGTTTTTCTTAAATGGGGACTCAGTAGCACCAGTCAGCCATTTAAAAACCATCAGGGAGAACACATCAGGAGCCGACCTTGAGATGTGGAATCTGAACCAGGGTTCTTGAAAGCACCTCTGCAGTCCTTAAGGAATGTGGGCCTTGGAGTCAGATACACCTCAGGCATGTGCCCTTGGGCAAATCACTTCGCCTGAGCCTGTTTCTTATAGCAAAGATTACAATCCCGATCTTGCAGGCCTTGTGGAAACCAGATGAGTGAAGCGGACTCTGCCCTGAGGCATGGCCTAGGTGGAGGAGTGGTGGTAGCTGCCCTGTGCTGAGAGCAAGCAAGTGGGTGAGGGAACGTGGGGCTGGTATTGTGAAACTCCAGGACCCCAGGTCTCCTCTAGGCCAGCAGGAAAGCCTGCCTCTAGCCTCTTCCTTATGGCGAGGTTCTAAAGGAAACGTGGTCTTAGGCCAGATGAAAGACCTTTATGAGATTTCTATTACCTCAGTGATCTTCAGTGCTACCTCATCTGGCAGGCAAAGCAGGGCTTGTCATATATTCATTTTATAGGCTGTGAGGACCAGTTACTAAATTACTGAGGTCTACTGATACACTGTCCAGTGGTTTCTGCCACCTCCCCCAGCTCCTCACTGTCCCAGGATCATGCCCAGAACCATGATGGAATCTGGTGGCCTTGTGTCCATCCTAGTATCTGGGACACAAGACTGGTGAATGATCAGCTGACAGACATGCTTAGGGCAACAAACTGACCGTTTCCTCTGGTGCAAAACAGTGAGTAGCCTGCTTCACAGGACTAATGTGAGAATTAAGGTGCAGGAGGGTCAGTCTTCCATTTATGCTGATTTCCTGCAGCCCAGCAGACAAAAGCCCCGCTGTGCTGCCTACCACCTTCACTTTCGCTCAGCTCATGGCACCCAACCCTGTCCCTCTCAGGG